GGGGGCCGGGTGGCGAAGGCAGTTGGGGGAGGGAGGAGGAGGGGGAAGGGGGGTTAAGACGGGGGCAAACTGCCATAACAGTAAGAAGGGTATGACGTGTCGTACCAAAAACGCACATTCGTGGCATCGCAACAAAAAGAAGGTTTGCCGGGATTGAAGAAGCCCTAAAACCCTCTGACACACCCGCCGTACACTCTCCCGCCATCCCCCCACTCCCCCTTCCACCCGCGCGCCCCTTCCCCCTTTTTCACGTCGTCCCGACACACAAAAGACAAAAACACACGTACCTGTGTCAGCGCTTGTCGCAGTTGCTCCTCTCCTTGGCCCGGATCCAGCCCCTTAACAAATAACGTGGTTTCGGAGGTGCCTCGGGGCTTCCAACCGCCTGCCGTACAGAAATTGGAAGGCCAGGGTAGGGTGCCAATGAAGGAATGTTCGTGCATGTTCGAACTCCTAACAACTCACAGTCCTGCATTAGTCGTCGTACATGACGATTCATGTACGGCAATGGCTAGGGGCTGGGGTAACCCTTACCAATTTCTAGTAATAATTTTTTTATGTAAAAGCTAGTTATTGCTGCAATATACACTCTACAATATAAAAAAACGTAAAAAAATGAAGTTAGATAAGCAGAGTTGCTAGTTGGAGGCGAGCGTTCGAATCCCGGCGCGCGCAAGTCCGGAGATCATAGCAGTGTGGTCGCGCGTGGAGGCCACCAGCGGCCTTGCGGCGCTGTCGGGCGAATGTGGAGGTCGGGGGGGGGCTAGGGTATAGCTCTGGCAGTAGCTTAAGGGTTACGGCTCGCCGTACAGATTTACAGGTAATTGTTGCTTCAGCTACAGCCCTCTCGCCGCCCCAGCAGACCGCACCTGGCGGCCGAGTCGCCGTCTTGCGGCTCGCATCTGACTGTAGCACCAAAGCCGCCGCCGGCGGCGGCTTCGAAACAGCCGGCGTCAAGAAGCCGCCGCCGCCGCCGCTGCGGCTGCGGCTGCTGCCGCCGCCAACGTTGCCGCCACCAGCAACAGAGCCCGTGCCGCCGCCACGTCCCTCCCTGTATTGAGCATTGCTACCGCCGTCATTGTTGCTGCTACTGCCAGATTGGCCGCTGCTCACTAGCTGCTGTTGCTGCTGCTGCTGCATTAACTGAGAGCTGGCGCGCATGGGCGCAAGCAGTTCCTGCAAGAAAGCCGTTGCTGCGCTGCTACTGCCGCCGGCAGCGTCGCCGCCGGCAGCGGAACTGTCAATCTTGCTACTGCCAACCTCATTGCCGCCACCGCCGCTGCCACCGTTGGCGCCGTCGTCTCTCATCTCGCTCGCGCCGCGACGGGTCACGCGCCGGAAGGCGACCGCCGGAGCTGCTGGGGCACTCGGTGGCGGCCCGGCGTTGGCGCCGCCGCCGCCGCCACTGCCACTGCCAC